TTTTCTTGGTAGATGCTTGAGCGTTTCCCCTACTATTAGGTCATGTCCTGGGGTCTTGTGTGAATTCGTGATTTTAATCTGAGTGATGACTTCGTTTGGTGTAATAGTTCGAATTGGTGGTGACAGTTGACACGGGGAATCAAGATAGGAATTTATTTCTTCATCCTCTTGGTTATTTAGGGGGGTGAAAGTTCTCGCAAGATGTTCAGCAAATATTTGTGCTTTTTCGGAATTGGATCTGGCCCACGTCCCATCTTCTCGCCTTAGCGGAGCTATCGGAGTTGTGGGTCTTTTGAGTTTCTTGGTAGCTCTCCATAATGAGTGGTCGTTAGGTTCCAGATTTGTGATGTAGTATTCGAAAGTTTCGTTGTTGAAGTCTTGGATAGTAGCATGGAGTTTGTGGGTAAGTCTGTTGAGATATCTTTTGTCGTTGGGATTTCTTGTGGTTTGCCATATCCTGCGTGCTCTCCGTTTTTCCAGGACCATTTCTTTGATGCGTAGTGGTAAATTATTTTTTCTATTGTTTTTTGACAGTGTGGGGGTGTTGCGTTCCACGCAGCCTTTTGGAGAAGTACTGTAAAGTCGTGAACTGCTTGCCCCACCCCACTAGCATTAAAATTTACTTCCTTACTTTACTGGTGTACAGCTACCGTACTAAGTGCGTTCAGAATCAAACAACATGGTACCCGCACACAAGAGAATAGAGTTCACGATACTGGCTTGAAGTTTGCTCAATGAGGCATAACCCTATCTGATGTAAAGGGAACAAGAGAATTTTCATAAACGTTCACTTCAAATATTTATTCTCCAGAACAGAATATATAAAGTCGTAGATGGATTAAGCTATAATTGAACGGTTGAAGTGCTATTGAATTTCTACATGAAGGTACTACATGAATGCTAGACCCATACAAAAAAGGAACTACAAAGGTTGAACATTAAATTTTATATTCTGTTAGAGCATACTAGGAATAAGATAAGTAGCTTCAAGACGTAAATTACTTCCTTTATGATGAAATAACTCAACCGAATCATTAGAAAGCTGTAAAAAACACATAAACTAATGTTGGTTAGGACTAATAAACTGTTCACTGAGAGGGACACTCTTGAAATATTAAATGTCCAGTATCAGTGTATTTGGAGAGCATGATTGTGGCAATAACACCAGGTGCCGAGAAACAGGCAACAAAAAACAAACTCCGTGGCCTATAGTCCGCAAATGAACTATATCGACTGAGCGACCGCCGCTTGCCGGCAAAGTTAGTGCCAATTCTTTAGGATAGAGGGTGTCGCGTGGTCAGCGCAACGGATCCCCACGGCCGTTAATCTCGGTTTTCTAGACTGGAACCGCTATTTCATTGAAACAGCTCCTCAATTATCCTCACAAGGCTGAGTAGACCCCGTTCCAGACCCACTACTTCTCAGAAAATCTGGCAGCGCCGGGGAATCGAACCCGGAACTTTTCATCTGTAGTCAGGAACTCTGACCGCTAGACCACAGAAGCGGTCTAGAAACAGGCAACACCGCTTCCTTTATTGGGCTTCATTACTGTGCGTGTTTTCTGTGAGGTAATGCTCGAAGTTATAAGGCATCAGATTTCAAGCTGCATTGTTTCACATGCAGCCCTGCGGATGGTAGTATCAAAATTCCTGCTTTATGTCGACCTTAAATGTTAAAGTATAATTATACTTTAATTAGGCAGCCCTTCCCACGTTGATATTATCACGTGTAGGGTGGTACGCGTGACAAAAATGACGGGTTTTAGTTCCGATGATTGGATTTGTTAGCACCTTGGTCACAATCTCTCTAAATCACATTTAAATACAGCCAGTACAATGCTATCGTTGATTGCACAATTTATAATTTACAGTTGCGCACACTTGGACTCTCTGTTTCCACTAGTCGTCTCTTAGCAACGGATCTTAACACTGAAACTAGCATTCAAAACACTATGAAGTCCTCTTGCCCTTTCTTGTTCAATCACTCTGGAACTCAACTGCACTCTGTTGAAATCAAAACTAAACTTCCTGTGGCTGTCCCCTACCGAGAACTCACTTGAACGGAACTGCTTTTAGAACTTTGTCACTATCACTTAAAAGATGAAATTTATTATGACTGTAACTGTCGTTATATAGCATCCGTACCGGCAACGCAGAAAACACAGCATTTATAGAAGAAAGCAGTCTTCTGGGATGTGGCGCTGTGTAGATATTGTGTTAATCGACGTTTCGGAGGAACGTATCGCCTCCAACAGTGGTCTGTTGCACCTGCTCACGCTGGTTCGCTCGCGGATTTCTTCTTGTTTTCTACCTTGAAGATGGAGGCGATACGTTCCTCCGATTAACATAATATCTACATGACAACACATCCCAGAAAACTGCTTTCTTCACTGTCACCGCTTTGAAAACCTCAAATTTTAAACAGCCTGTATTATTCAAGTCAAAGTCAAAGTCACATTGCGACTGACGGTCAGTCAGTCTGTCTGTCTTGGTGTCGAGCCCCGACTGGGGCTCATGACCAGATTTTTTTTTCTTCTTTATATCAAAGTTACTGTCCTGGTCATTTGGGGCGCCCTCTCTGACGAGAGGTCGGGTCTGTCATTTGTCAGTCATAGTCTGTGTTAGTAAGTCCATTGTCAGTATTTACATATATTTACAAATTTAATCTTAATTCCTATTTCCCATTCCTATGCCATATTTATAGTAGTATTCGCTACCACGGTAGTCTAGTCACTTGATCGTAGTATGCCTGACCGCCGCCAAGTTTAAGCCTCTTATACTTTGTGTGTCGGGCTTCGCCTTGTCCGATGTTGCGAACATTCTCATTTACATGATTTTGTAGACTTCTGCTTGTTTCCTGCATAATTTTGTTATATAGTCATAAACGTACGGGAACCTGTATTATTGAAACGTGTTTACCGAAATATTCCAAAACAATGGTCGCTGCACGGACCACACAGAAAACCAGTCCCGTGATACCTACCTCGCTAGTCCATTAGCGCGCTGACTGTTGCCTAGTAACGAGCTATAAACATCCGTCCTACTGTTGAGTGCGCTTACGCGAGATGTTTATCGCGCTATATACGTTACATTATCAAAATTAATTCCGAACGTAAGTAGTAATAAAGCCAGACTCAACTTATCTCTTCTTCTCATAACAGTTCTACCTTTTCGTTTCCCAAAGCTTCACCCTCTCCGTACCTCCACCTGGAGGAGAAGGCACTATCTGGTTTTCTTCAAACCCCGAGAATATTTTTCCTCTCACTGTCTTACTCCACCGCACCTCCACTTCTCTCACCCTCTCTCTCTCTCTCTCTCTCATTCTTTACTTCCACCCCTTTGGCAAAAGTTAGGGATTTGCCATTGCTCCAAAGTAGGCAGGAGCTACACGTATGTGGGTTCGAGCATGAATTTCCCAGCTCCAGACCAGCTCTAAGAAAAGAAACGGATGTCCGGGGTAAACCGGCTGGTGTGTGTTGCTGGGTGCTCACCTCCATCTAGTGCAGAGTTGGAGTGTGCATGCAGCTGTAATTACTTACCCCCCCCCCCGCTCCACATCTTTATTGTGTGGTTCTTAATTAAGCACAGGGATGTCTTTGGTTTTACCTATTCCATAGGTAATTAGGATTTAGATCAATGGCACCTCGTGGGTTAGGGAACTCATTGGGCGAGGGTTGGGACGCTTATAATGGACTGCAACCTCAACTTGGTTAGAGGGCTTGCGTTCCTCTTTGTTCAACAGCAGACAGATCAGACCAAAAGGCAGTCCAAATTCAAAGCTCTCACAGATACCTGATAAATCTTGTAGTGTCATTTTTTCCATTCGACTAACAGCATATTTATTGAAGGGGCACACGTTTAATTCCCTTAAAAGTAAAGTTGTCTCTGTGCTTAATTAATTAAGCACTATGCCGTGAAGGCGTATGGGGGAGTTGATGTATAGATCCACATTTTCTTGACCTCGGTACTAGTTGGAAGTGAGTGGTCAGCTTCAAGCCCCGGTCCGCTTTACCCCAGTGAAAGAGCCCCCATTATATATAGGAGACTGCATAGGTAACACAGCCGGTCTGAACGACTTGGAGAAGACAGAATCTTGACCGTACCGGGACTCGAAATCCGACCCGTCGGTCGTCTAGCCCGTAGCCAGTCGCTATTCCGGCTCCTAAATTTGTTCCCTTAATTCGTTAAAATACATCACATCAAACAAATATTTGGTGAACGTCTCCGGTCTTAATAAGAACCATGTTTTAAGCAATGTTCCAAATTATGTATCATGTGCAGTTATTTGAGAAAACTGATAAGATTCGATTTCGGCCTAATGTAACTTAATGGCAATACTAGACCTATGTGAAATTAAACATGTTTACTTTCCAGTATCCCAGACATACATTTTGCGCTCCTTGAAATGTAATAATTCTGTAATGTTAATGAAAAGAGGATTAAGTAAAAAATTGGTCCAAAGGAGGTAAGTAAAGTAAATAAAATTAAAGGTATCCCCGTTACAGGCCGTGGAGGCACATAGGGATATCAGATGTTGAGGTTCCCACATTTTCTAGACAATCGGCTCATAGATGGCGGCAAGGTTGTCAGCCCTACGCGCTGGCCGCCATTTCCCCCCCAAGAATATTCCTAGTACTCATTTCTGTTAGAGGCTGAGTTGACACAAGAGCCATAGTGCGGCGGAAGGATTAGGTCAACTGAAAAAATCCAATAACCTCATCGGGACTTGAACCCGCGACCTTCCGGCATGTAGCATAGTGCCTCACTAAGAGCATAAATAAATTGTCCTTATTAAACGATCAATTTAAACTCGAGCAAAATACTCTTATACAATAATCCACTTAACCCAGTACTTCATTCCATTACGCAAAAGTCTAAAGCTGTTTCTTTTTCTCTTGGGAAATAATGTTTAGTTACTTCAGACCCATTTCTGCAGCACCACAGAGTTTACCCTTTAAATCACCTTGAAGTATAGAAACTACTTGAAGAGATGAAACTCACCTTCCGCGACTGCGTAGTTCGCTGCTTCGCCTCTTCACGGCTCAGATATCTAGACACTGGATATAAAAGACAGGTTACATGTTCTGTTGTTGTGATTCGCCGTTCCATCGCGTCACTTTAGAATAACTTTCTTTTCAACACTTAAACTGTCTAGACATAATTATTGTCACAATTGCACAGAAAACTTTAAAACGCCCAAACGCAACATACACTGAACACGTGTTTTACCCAAGAGAAAGGTTAACCTCAACACAAACGTCGCTCTAGTTCAACTGTTTACTTGGCGACATCTGATTGGAGAGAGGTGTGCATGGGTGGGGGTATGTAGCAGGAGTGGGGAGGCTCACTGACGCTAATACGACTTGAATGCGTCGTGGAAGATGACACTGACGAGTTTCTTATTTCTCGTGAGAGCGCAGCCAAGGAGTTTAAGGGCTGTCAGAGCATGGTGATGAGAATATGGCAAATTCTTATAACAGTTTAGTGAGAAAAGGTGAAAGATAGAGACCAATTGAGAGGTCTCGGATGAAGCTGGAAGATAACATAAAATAAATATTAGATAATTATGGCGTCAGAGTGCTTACTGCATTGAACTAGTTAAGGATTAGGGCCACTAGCGTCCTATTGCTCTCGTGGTAATTAAATATGGAGTTTTCTATGGCGGGGAAATATCTTCACTTAATTTACTCCTTGGTACCACAGTCCCATGAAAATCTTTTTCTCCTTTATGACAGACGTGTACTCCTCTTTATTATTTGCATTTTGACTCCGTCTCTTCACTTGCAGCTCTTGCAAATCACCCTACATACATTCCCTTAAATTGAAGCACAATAGATCACTGTAGGCCGCGGTGCAAAGGCCGAGAAGGCCCACCCCTTACACATTCATTCCCTTATATTATCAATCCGGCATCCATCGTTAGATTCTTTATGTCCATTGTTATTTTTTTTTGTGATGAAGTCGTTACCCTCATGTCCAACCCCCAAACCGGGAGGAACAGTGAGTACGTTCTTGTCTAACACATTTCGATCTGTCAAANTGTTGACTTGGCACATAAATAATAAAGAATTGAATTGAACAGAACTGAATTGAATTGAATTATTATTATTCGAAATGTACTTTCATTTTTCTCACCTGTTAATGCTAACTTTAATTTTTCTTGGAATTATTATTAATTCATTGCCATTATATAGACTGTCTTATTTTTATTTTGTTTTTTGGTTATTTCTGTATTTCTATGTAATTGTGCCAACTTTGTTACTGGCATTTGTGCTGTTAAGTTTGCACGTAAATAAACATGAATTGAATTGAATTGAATTATGGCTGTACACCCATTTGTTAGGCCTTTGCCGTTTTTTCTTTCAGTTTCTTCATCCTATACACAGTCGGTAGGACTCCTTGGACGGGGGATCAGCCCGTCGCAAGGCCTCTACCAACACAGTATTCCACTCATAAGAGACCGCTTCTGATTCGTACTCTGAACCAGAGTACAGTGTGCAAATGTAAAATTGAAGGAGCGGTTTCACGGCAATACCAGCATCAAGAACTGTAGAGTCCCAGGCGATGTGAACGAGCAGCAGATGCATTGCCACGGTTACTACAAGATGGATTTACTTGGCCACGGAGGACCGAAAGACGTGGCTACTCGACAGACACAGAGCGGGGTTTACAATTACTCAGAGCATTCATTACAGTATAAACAGGGATAGATGGAGCAGCATCTTTGTAAAGTTAACAGCAAATAACTGCCAACGGAGGCGAAACGTCACGTAAATAACCAGCTAATTTATCGTTTCTCTCTTATTAAGACTCACAGTAATTACACTGCTGGCTGGAACGCCCACTACCTCAGAGTTCAGTCCCATTCATATTATTACAATTCGTTTAGACTTGAACTTGAAGAAGGAATTCAATCCTGACCATGAAATGAAATGTACTCGTATGTGAGTGCCGTGTTTGCAGACAGTATTCGTACTTAAAATTCGCAAGACTGAAAAGCAAACACTGATACAAATCCTGCAATAGTTTGTAACAGTCGTATGTTATTAATCATGAAATTATATTAGATATTGTCCCTTGACTCAGTTAAGTTTAAAATTATATGACGTTTCGGAAGCTGGATCTGCTTCCGTCATCAATATAACTAGAAGTTCTGGGAAGAGTTAATCACCTACTTTCCTTTGATACAACACGGACCGCATATAAAATGAAGAGCCCAACAATTCTTCTATTCTTATGTGTATTCGTTGAAGCAGAAACATGTTTACTGAGACGTTGCCTAGCACCGAAAGGAAGGAAAAACTTACCAAACCTTCGCCTAGTAACGATAGGAGGGATACACATACGGACACACAGACTTATGGGAGGGATTTATGATGTACGCCGTTAAGATGAGTTCAGGTGCTATGGTATATACACGAAGTTTCATTCATTCATGGTGAAGGCATTCAAAATTTGATTGGGTCATATACAGACACACATAAGATCGCATAAGCCTAATTTACGAGAGCAGACTGAAAATAGGTAGCAATCTATTCAGGTGTAGCCCTCAGCCTGGGTCCAGATATCGAGACCAGGTTTTTCTGATTGTCTTATCCGAACAGGTTCTTCTTTTTATTACACCTGAAGAAGGAAACAGATCCTTTTTCTAAAACGCAGTACCTTGTTAAAATTAACTAAGGCAATGGACAATGTCTAATATAATATCATAATGAAGAATGAGACAGTAAAACCTAACCTAAGTTAGTTATTGGCCTTACAGGGACGTGGGTAGACTGGTACCAGGACTGATCACTTGGGGCGCCACCTACACGCTGTGGGCTTCTCGGATAAAGCTACGTGGAGGAAACGTGTACAGTTTTTTTTTCTTATTTCTCTCCTTTAATGACAATCATATTGTACAATCTTTAAGTCAATGTGCTGATTGGTGTACAATATAATAACTATTTATTGTACATTTTTCTGGCGTGTGCGGAATAAACATCCAGTGATGTTTTCCTCAGTTCGTTAGATCTGATGGACGTGTACAGGTGAAAGAATTTTCTTGCAACGTGCTTTATCGATGCCCAGCTCTGGCCGGGCATAAGATGAGGATTATAAGTTTTGCATGGATGGAGCCAATAGACACTAGCAGAGCTTCACTCAAAGAGATTTTGAGCGGACAGAGATCTTGTGAAGAGCTCTAGTGAAAATGTGGGCGCACAATGGACCACAAATTGGATCTGGGTACTTGGAGAGGTCAGACTTTGACTATTTCGTGTTAGCGCCCAATGCTAACTGGGAGCAGATAGCAGTAAGAAGGTTAAATGTGAATCTACTTAAACAAAAACACGGCAATCCCTTCTGGCCTAGTTAATTCGGAAATACAGTACTTCTCTCCTACTGATTAAGTGAATATATCATTCAGGTTAATAGCTGAAAATATACCCCATATCCTTGTGATATGAGTTATGTAATTCTGGTTACGTCACCAGACCGTACTGTTTAATGTATTGACTCCTATGCTAGTTTTGTAATGTCTCATAAATAATTGAAATCTACGTAAGAATTGGTACTACCAACAACTTCATAAAACAACAAACAACATGTAAAATTCCATGTATTAAATATTGAAAGTTAATGAAACTTTATTTAAATAGGAGTGATAATATAATCAGTGAATTGGACGCAGCGCAGTTTTATTTGATTAAGTTTATGAAAAACCATGCATTCCACTCTGATTGATGAATTCTCTTTATAGATAATATAATTATGAATATCGGCATCGGTAATATACTACGAATTCTGAATATAAACCCTTAAATAATATCCATAACAATATAATAATAATTACAATTATTGTGTTTCTGGATATTATTAATTTTCATGTTTTTTATTTAAACACACAACATGTCGGACACTGGATTCTGTCTCCGTCTTCAGGTGAAACCTACTCAGTACTGATTAATTGATAGAACCACTCCCTAGCTCCGGTCCTTTGAAATTTAACATTCATTTCAGGGAATATATATCCATCTTCAAGGTTCAGAAACAAGCCAATCAAGAAACCAGCATGAAACAGCCAGCAAGCAGAAAAGTCTGCTTTGTTTTCTGCTTGAGCTCATTTCTTGCTTGGGACACTCTTCGACACTGAAGTTTGAGGCGATATGTCCCTTCAAAATGTCGGTTATTTCCAGTGAATTACATGGCTTTGTGTCTGAGAAGAGAGAACTCTTCATAGCCACTGCGGTGAGAGCCTAGGATCCTACACAGCGCTATATCCCAGAAGACAGAACTCTTCATAACCACCGCTGTGAGAACCTCAGATCCTACACAGCGCTATATCCCAGAAGACAGAACTCTTCATAACCACCGCTGTGAGAACCTCAGATCCTACACAGCGCTATATCCCAGAAGACAGAACTCTTCATAACCACCGCTGTGAGAACCTCAGATCCTACACAGCGCTATATCCCAGAAGACAGAACTCTTCATAACCACCGCTGTGAGAACCTCAGATCCTACACAGCGCTATATCCCAGAAGACAGAACTCTTCATAACCACCGCTGTGAGAACCTCAGATCCTACACAGCGCTATATACCAGAAGACAGAACTCTTCATAACCACCGCTGTGAGAACCTCAGATCCTACACGGCGCTAAATCCCAGAAGACAGAACTCTTCATAACCACCGCTGTGAGAGCCTCAGATCCTACAGAGCGCTATATCCCAGAAGACAGAACTCTTCATAGCCACTGCTGTGAGAACCTCAGATTCAACTTCGACGTCTCCGAAATGCAAAATCAGTTCTCACCATTGTTTCGCGATCTGACGGTTCTAATGAGCTAATCAGCTGGGCGCTTCCAAGCATGTTTATGAGACTGTAAAGTAAATATTATTTTGTTTCTCCAGTCTTTTTGGTGAAAACGAATTGACTATAGCAGTTGCTTGTCACTAAGATCACAACCCAAAATATTCGTGTTGATCTGCTTCTCGTCAGTGATACATTTTTCTGGGGGTACTGAGAGAAATAATAGCTGTTTTTATCTTAGGTTCTTCGGACTGCAATTATGAAGGAATGCGAATGCCTGTCATCCTAGAGAGATACATAACAATTCCATACATCTTCACTACAGCCAACTTACTTACTTACTTACTTACTTATGTAGCTGAGACCTTCTCAACAAGCCGCCAATTGTGCAGCTACTCAAGAATTTCCCAGCATTTTATGCAACCCGAAGGTTCATTACCGTGTTCACAAGAGCCCTCCACTGGT